TGTTCGAGAGGCATGTTACTTCTTTGGGTCTTAGGAGGATCCCAGACTTGCATTAAGCAAGTGGGAGTTATTGGTTTCATTACGCTCTTGGAGTAAGACGATGAAACAATAAAATAATTTTCTGAATTTCATAAATAAGGTTTTATTTATTTATTTTGCGCACTATTTACAAACATAAAGGTCCGGATCAAATTGTGGAGTATATGATCATATGGATACGCTCATGGAGGACATGATCATAGGATCTCACAATTGATGAATGGAGTCACAGCCGTTAAATAAAGTTGGGCACTTTATTCAGGCTGCAATATTTTATGAAATGATTTTGTCCGAATCATTGTAAAATATTGGTGTGAATTAACATTCACATTGAAAGGATCAAGGAGAGATTTGATTAAGGTTGTTTTTCTGTCATAAGGTATCAAATCTCCAGTTAACTATAGTTATGAGATTGCTCTTAATCCTGAGTTTATTATAAATAGGTAATCAAATAGTTTTTATTCTTTGATTTACCAACGGGTGAGGTTCGATCTATTGACGGCCAATAATTTTGGGAGTGAGATTATTTGATTATCGGTATTTATGAGATAAACAACATGGAATTTGTAGGATATGTCCCCTTGATATGTTTCGGTACTTGGATATTAAAGACACTAGCCAGTGCATGTAATCCATCAGAGAAACTATCATAGTCAAGGGAATAAATAATTGATTGAGTTACAGAAAACTTGTCAATCAATTATAGACATTCTACAAAGGGGCGATGCATATTCATGTTATAAGTGTTGTTAATCTTGGAGTTCAAGTTCGGGCTTTTAGTGGAGTAGCACCGAATTAGATAATCATTCGTTGATTATCAGGAGCCTTGATTAATAACAGATGGTAGATCCCCAAGCTAGCTTGAGACAAGGGATGGGGTATTTTTCGGATAGATGATGACTTATGGGTTACATGATCTTGGGTTTTACGACTCAAGTTTGTATCCAAAAGAGCAAGTGAGAGATTGTTGGGTTTGCTCTTTTACTAAAGCCCAAATGGGTTATTAGTATAAGAAGAGCCCAAGGAACCTAGAGCCCAATGAGCTAGGGTTTCTTGGAACCCATATAAATAGTACCTCTTAAGTCATCAGCCTCCTAGGTCTTTTTTGTGAGAAAGAGGCAAGCTCAGAATCTAATCAGTGCCCACACACTTCCCCTTCCTCCTCGAGAGATAGTTTGGAAGATCTGCCACAGTCCAGCTTCAAGGAGGTTGTTCGTGATGCGGCGCTGAGGTGAGCTGTTCGTGAAGAGGAATCCTACAAGGGAAGATTCTACACGAGACCTGCGCACCGAGAGGTAATTGTGAAACAAGGATGATTCGCTAAGCATACCAATGTACTAGGTCCTAAACCGCTTCCGCATAAATCTAAGATTTCCTACATAGAGTAATTAAAAATTCCAACATACATAAAATAAAACAAAAATATAAGTTCGACACAATGATTTATATTGAAAATTATTCCAGGCTCAAAGATTGAAAGTATGTGTGTTTTGTCTCATTCTTGATCGCCAAGAGCCACATACTTTTGTTTTGTTTTGTATTGAAATTTGGAAGGGAAAAGGAGTTCCGGTGATGTAGGAGAATTTTTTCTCTTAATTACGTACAACAATTTTTTTTCTATTTTTTAATAGATGGTGGGATCCATTATATTTTTATGTCTATAATAGAAAAAAAAAATCTCATATTGCGTGAGAAAAAAAACTGAATTAGAAAAAGTAGAAAATGATTTATAATGAAAAGTATTGAAGGCTCAAAGATTCATTGAATAATTATGTTTTAGTTCTTTGTTTATCAACAAGAGGCAAATACTTTTGTTTTGATTTGATTTGTATTGAGATTAGGAAAAGTAGAATATGCTTGCATATGGTGAGATCTTGCTTGCTGTTCAATGGCTTATCATCTTAAACACTTATAAGAAATAAATAAGTCCAAACAACAGAAAATAAATAAAGCACAAACCAGCAAGAAACAAAACTTAATAATAATAATAATAATAACTATGGTTCAACTTAACAAACCTTATTTTTTAAATATATAATACACTTTTTTATATAATTTGTTAATATTTAATAAAATTTAATATTAATCCAATTAAATAGTTAGTAGATGGCAAAATAGAGGTATTTGTTGGGTGAACCCGGCTAACCACCCAATTTGTCATATTGAGTTACATGTTTAAACATGCAAACTTGTCACAACTCATCTCGCTTACGAATGAGTTAGATAAAGTGGGTTGGACTTGAGCCCAAAACCCTAGTTCTCGATCTCCCTCTTTAGGCCTCTCTTTCTCAATTTTTGCACTATGGATAATTTAAGATTATTTTTTTATTATTATAATTATTATGGGTAATATATATGTCTCTCAAGTTACATCAGAGAAAAACTTTTTCCTGCACTCAAATCGATAATTGAGCTGTTTTTTTTTCTCTCTCTTTATGCTCCCCACAATTGGTCGAGTGTGCGAAAAAAGTTTCTCTCTTATTATATAACTTAAGAAAAATATTATCCTATTATTATTTATAAACCATTTGGTATCCGATTGTCCGCAAGCATATACTAATTCAGACTCTCGTCAGACAGGACCACAAGAGCAATAATCCTCTTTCTATCAAATTTTAACATAGGTGCATATCTAGAATTCAAACTCTAGATCACTCATTAGTATTATTATTTTTAATTGTCAATGCTACTATCTTTGTTTTCAAATCGGAAGTTGACACTTTACTACTTCAAAATTTGTAAAACAAGCAAATCAATGAAGTGTATAAAGATTTCTATTCCCCTGCATATTGCATTAAGCTTTCAGTTGATTTTGGATAAAATGCATATTCATCGTAGCAGTGCTCTAGTTGAATCGTTGATTGCCTTACAATCTAGATAAGGCTTATTTGTCTTTTTAATTGAAATTTTCTCTATCTTCTGCTTTCTCCAATCATTTTTCCTTCTATTTCTCATAAAAATTCTGAAGTACCAAAATAATTGAAGTTCTTTTCAAGCATATCAATACCTGAAGGTACCAGAATCATTCAATTCCAAACCACACGTACAAGGCACAATCCATTAATAAGTACACTTGATTCTGTCGTCTTTCCACTTTCAACACTAGGATAGATTTTTGGATAACAATTTTAACGGTGGAACGAGAGGTGTTAGGGTGTGCTGTTGCCTTCTCCAAACTCTTTTAGTTTGTGAGTATTATTTCTATTTTGTTTTGGTCATATGGATAGCTATAATTGTAATTTCGCCTTCGCTCATATAAGTGTTATTTTAAATACGATAGTAAGAATTAAACACATAACCTAATACAAATTACTCAAATCTCTTACCATTAGATCAATTCTAGTGACTTAAGCGCGTATAAGGTTTTAGTTGTGAGCATTACTTTTTTTTTATCATATTAGTATAGTTGTAACTTATAAGAAAAAAGGGAAAAATTATTCTTATGTTACATGAGATATGTTTTCCTTCTTACATACCCTTCGATAATTATACAACATTTTCCTATTTATTTTATTTTATTTTTTTAGGTGGTGGGCTCCACTACTATGTGTTTATGACATAAAATTTCTTTTCTCATACAACATGAGACTAGATAAGTTGTAAGGAAAAATGCACATTCTAATTTCGTCCAATTATAAAAAATTTTGGCTCCTCCATTTATAATAACGTGTTACGCAAGACTGTATGGGTAAAAGTGGGCTGAGCTGGGCCAAGCTTTACCCCGAAAAGCCCAAGCTCAGGTAAAAAAATTTCAATTTGGCCTGGCCAAAGTCTAGTACTTGTCTAACTGTTAGCCTGACTTGGCTCGTTTATAAAAAACAAATGACCTGGCCTAACCTGTTAGCCTGTTAATTTTTAACTTCCAAGCAGAACCATGAATCAACTTTACAAAATACTCAAATTCTATTCCTAAACAAAAAATCATAATTTCAACGTCCAAATAGAATCATAAATCACAACAAAACTCATATAATCTGCATTTAAGTCAATTTCAAAAGCAAAATGCTCAAACTAAATAACACATATTTCATCAGATCCAACAAACAAATTCATACTATGTAAATTAAAATAACTACATGAATCCAACAAACACATCATGATCTTGTAATAAGTATAACATCTCCCAAAAACCTTTTAATATATTCATGGGTTCGCATTTCTGCAGTTACTGCAGATAAGTTATCTGTAGTAAGCCCAATACGGCGTCGTTTTGGGATAAAAATCGTGGTGTTTTTGTAATTTTAATTTTTTTCAGGGTTATAATAGTTTTTATATTTAAATTTTTTAAGATTTCAATACCAAAACGACGTCGTTTTGGGAATAAATGCAGATAACTTATCTGCAGTAACTGCAGAAACATTTTTTCCTATATTCATATACACACTCTAACATGCTGAGATGTTGGTTCCTCCCACATAAGAAATAAAGTCAGATTTCTATTAAAATATAATTGAATATAATTAAATTATAAATAATTGCAATTAATTAAATTTATATCTTTTATTTTTTCTTCAAGTCATACTTATTTTATTTTATTTAAAATAAATAATACAATATAGGTCGACCTATAAGCTTATAGGTCAGGCCTTGTGAAAGTGAGCCTACGGCCTTTTTATTAAACAAGCTTTTTCAAGACCCAAGTTTGGACTGTTTTACGAAATATACTAGGTCAGACTTGGCTTGACGTAGGCCGAGCCATAGGTCCCTGTAAACTGGTCCGGCCCAATTTCAACCCTACTCAAGAGCTTACATCACTTTTTCTTTTTCTTTTGCTCAACTACATCCCTCGTTGGAAAATAGCACTAAAATTTGTAAGTGTCATGCCTCAAAACGGCACCTATATATATAAAAATTCTAATTTCGTCCAGTTATAAAAATTTCAATTTATAATAACGTGTTACGCAAGAGCTTACATCACATTTTCTTTTGCTCAACTACATCCCTCGTTGGAAAATAGCACTAACAAAATTGTAAGTGTCATGCCTCAAAACGGCACCTATATATAAATCCATCTTCATGCAAAATGTGTACTCACAAAAAATTCTGTCTCTACAATTCAGCTCTTGTCGTTCCATATTTAACATCATATTTGATGGAGAAAAAGGCAAGGATTGCCATGGTTGCATGCCCTGGAGTGAGCCATTTGATCCCACTTGTTGAGTTTGCCAAGAGACTAGTTTTACAATACCATGAATTCCATGTCACACTCTTCATTCCCACACTTGGATCTCCCTCGCCTTCCATGAAAGCCATTCTAGAGGCTCTACCACCAAACATAGACTTCACTATTCTTCCTCAAGTGAACATGGAAGACCTTCCTCATAATCTTCACCCTTCAGCACATATCAGACTCACAGTGAAACACTCTCTTCCATTTCTTCATGAAGCACTAAGCTCATTAAATTCCCACACTCACCTAGTTGCTTTAGTTTTAGACCTATTCTCATGTGATGCAATTGATGTAGCTAAGAAACTCAACCTCTTGTCTTATGTTTTCTTTGCTTCAGGAGCCACAACACTCTCATTCTGTCTTTCTTTTCCTAAGCTTGAAGAGAGTATTGTTTCCTCTGAGTTCTTGGACTTAACAAAAACTGTGAATGTTCCAGGTTGTGTTATACCCTTCAAGGTCAAAGATCTTCCAGAGCCAGTTCTTTATGAAAGATCAAATGAAACCTACAAATTATTTGTTAGTTTGTGTGAGAGATTATGGTTGGTTGATGGTATCATGGTGAATAGCTTCACAGATTTGGAAGCAGAGGTTATAAGAGCTATGCAAGAGAAAGAATCCAATAGAGATGGTCCTTGTGTTTATCCTGTTGGACCCATCATTCAAAATGAGTCAAGTAATAAGGTAAATGAGTCAGTGTGTTTAAGATGGTTGGAGAATCAACCACCAAATTCTGTTTTGTATGTGTGTTTTGGGAGTGGTGGAACACTCCCTCATGACCAATTCAATGAGATAGCCTATGGATTAGAACTTAGTGGTCACAATTTTTTGTGGGTTGTGAGAGCTCCAAACAAATCAGCTAGTTCTGCTTATCTTGTTGGACAAAAGGAGGACCCACTTTATTATTTACCACAAGGTTTTTTGGACAGAACCAAAGGACAAGGCTTGGTGGTTCCATCATGGGCACCGCAGATTGAAGTCCTTGGTCATGGTTCCACAGGTGGCTTCTTGAGTCATTGTGGTTGGAACTCAACTCTTGAGAGTGTGGTTCATAGGGTGCCCATGATTGCTTGGCCACTGTTTGCTGAGCAAAGAATGAATGCTGTATTGCTCACAGATGTGCTCAAAGTGGCTGTGAGGCCAAAGGTTGTTGAAAATGGGATTGTAAAAAGAGAGGAAATTGCCAATGTTATTAAGAGAGTCATGGAAGGACATGAAAGCTTGGAAATGCACAAAAGAATCAAAGAATTGAGTGATGGTGCTGCTGCTGCGCTTAGTGAGCACGGTTCCTCTTATTGTACACTTTCTAGTCTAGCACAGAAATGGCTAAACATCTAAGTTAACATGGTTCATTTTTCTTATAGTATTTTTATCAGATACATGTATCACTTCAAATACTGAACTGTATATTAATTTTTAAGTTATAAATATTTTCACTACTTTCGACTTTTCTTATGTTTTACATGTATTGAATCTGTTCCTTCGTGTCTTAAAGGTTATGGATTCAAATCTTGGAAACAATATGCTCAGCCTCGCTAATCAGAATTTAATAGGGTGTGATTTTGCATTAAATATTAAAAAAAAATAGAGTTGGTGTGCAATCATCTTATTAAATAAGCATTCAGTAACTAATTACTTCAATATTGCATGATAAAATCTTGCTAAATTTGCAGATTGAAAGGAACCTAATACTATTAAGATGGATCCTAATGCTAATTAATGCATAGCAGGGAACTTCCAAAGAAGATTAAGACTCAAATGTTCAATACATGACAAAGCATGTTTAATCACATGGTAGATTTACAAGTTTAAGTCTATCCCAACAATGGATAAAACACCTTCTCTGACAGAAAATTCAGTATAAGAATAATCATAGAATCACGAAGTTGACTACTTAATCCATGTCCAAAGCCTCTTGTAAACCTTTTCTCCTAACATGAAGATTTTTCTCGTAATACACCTAGGAGTTAACAATTTAAAGTGAAGGTTACTTTACTTGATCTCCAATAATGCTTTTGAATTTTGAGGGTAATATTTTTAAAATCATTGTTTCTCTATTTTTTTATTATTTTGGTAATGTTTTTCTCTATTTTTAATATGAGGAGTAGAGATGTTTAAAAATTGTATTTGATAAAATTAGTTTATTTTCAGTTTTAAAAAAGGGATATTTATAACCTCCTTTTCGTTACAATCTCTTTCAACTATTTTTATAATTGTTGGATCTAAATCAAATCAACGGTTGCAAATATGACAGTAAGAGGTGGTAAGAAAAAGAGAATGCATACATAACCTTCCTCTTTAAAAAATAAACTAATAGCCAAAAACAAAAACAATTTTTTTTTAACTTCTTTATTTCCGAATATAGAAATATAAAAAAAAAAAAACTCTCTAGAAACAAGGTCAAATATCCTTATTTCTCAAAATCCTTGAGGATAGTTCATCCCCTTAATTAATATTTCTAAATATTCAATAAATGTAGGCGCAACCAATTTAAATACACATAAAAATGGTAAAATGAATTTAACTCGTTGAGTTCGTTCAACTGCCTTTAAAGTTTCCTGCGAGAGTTGAGTATCACAGAGAAGTATCACTAACACTGCAAATGATAATTATTTCTTATCTCTCTTCTCTATTTTTACGTTTTTCCCTTCACTTTATATGTCTGTGCATTTGTTTCTAGTGATAATATATCATTTGAGATTGCATGCATTGTGTTGGCAGATTTGCGTAATGAAGATAAAACAAAAATATGCAAATCATATTTGTTCCAAATTTGTGAGGTCTGCTGCAATAAATGATCATAATCTAAGCTTTGATGATGATTTGCATCAGGAGCCCTTTTTGCTAACATTGATCAAGGATGTCTTAGGTAGTGTTTGGTTCGGGGCTTCTGGAGATTATCCCAGCAAAGTGCATGTAGGTATCTCATTTCTCCACGTTTGGTTGAGGGATAAGCTGAAATTTGTCTATCAAAGTGACTTCCCTAGCAATCGACATCCGCATGTAAAAATTAGAGTTTTGCACTGTTGAAGAAGCCCAGCCCTTTTGGATGGTGGTATTGTTGTGAATACCGGACAACTCTTTTTTGGGGATGAAAAATGTGACAAATTTATCCCCTTGCTAGCAGAATCTGAGGATGTTTGTCAGCTTCTTAAAAGGAAGCAAACGAGACATCGAAGAATCTGCAGACATCGAAGAAATTGTATATTTATGGAAGCAAACGAGAACAAAGATGTGGCCTTATGTTTATTCACTTTGTGAATTGAGATCTTCATTGGGGGAGCTAAGACAGAAGCTGGACCACTTGGATGGTTACTGTTTTCAACTTGAGGAATGATTTGAGGCAAGCATTGCAGTCAAGGGACCCAATCATGTTTGTGAACAACTTAATAATCTTCAAGTGAATATGCAGACAACCTTTGATTAGTCAGGCACACTTTCTTGATTCAAGTTCTGGGTTGTAATATGAAAGACAGAGACACGAAGGTTGCAATAAAACCAAGGTGTTTTTATAATGATAATTTTGTAATTTGATTAACTTTTCCCATTAATATTTTATCTTCAACCAAACACACATTACAGAAATTTCATTCAATTTTCCTGGTAAAATTTTGTCCAACCAAACAACTTTTTTAAAACTTTCTTATCTAACTCACTTTCTCTGCAGATCCCTAGTATTTACATTTCCCTAGTATTAAAAAATTTCACCTCAACCAAACACTACCTTACGGTATTTGTGAAACTTGGATTTTGTGATCAAAGTGCAGTAGTATAATGAATTACTGCTCTTGTCATGAACTGTTATTATTTTAACAGTGATTAAAGTCTAGAATTTATCATTTGAATTTTATAGAAAAATAATATGATATTTACGAATAGCTGATGCAACAACATTTACAAATAACAACCCTATACAACAAAGTCACATAAATTACATAATGTTAGGGTTAGGTTTTAGTGTAAAAGTTTATGGGTTTTATAATGGGTTTTATAAGAGTTATGTCGTAGGAAAAGTGATTGTGTAATGTTATAGAGATTCGTTTTGCGTGCCTTAATTTTTTATTTACTTTTTTGTTTTAAAAAGTGTGGGCCCCACAAAATGTTGTGAGAGTAGGAAAGTTTGTTGTGTTAAGTTAAAGGATAAAACGAAAACCCTTTTATAATTCTCATTCAACATGAGAATTATAATTTTCCTACACACCTTTCGATTTTCGTGCTGACATGGGTCCTACATATAATTTTTTCTAACACATGGGTCCCACATGCTTTTTATCTCTACAACATGAGAATTGAATTCTCATTCAACATGAGAAAATCAAACCCCAAAGTTTATATATTATAAAATAGGGTTTAGTGTTTCTCATTTTAAATGACATATATAATTTTGTGTCAATTTTAATGAAACTACGTCGTTTTGGAGTGTTTTATCATTTTTTCTAATTTATAAAATTAGAAATAAAAAGAAAATGGAGGAGAGAGAATGTTAAAACACACCAAAACGCGTAGTTTTATACAAAATGACATAACTTTGTGTCATTTAAAATGACAAACATTTTTTCCTATAAAATAAAATAAAAAGTTATAACAGCTAACTTGTTTTGTGACGAGTCAACCCGCTTTTGACCTGCACTTATACAAGGCAAGTTGTCAGATTATAAAATAGAGTAAATATTCTTTTTGGCCCTTAGCAAATTTCATCATGCCCGCTTTAGTCCCTAGCAAATAAAAATAAAAAGGCCCATCCTGATTCTTAAGAAATTCAAAATGGACCCATTTTAGTCTTTTTAAGCTTTGTTTGGGAGTTTGGAGGGGAAGGGAAGGAGGGGAAGGAAGAGGAGGAAATTGGAGGGTTTCTCCTTCCCTTGTTTGGGAGTAAAAAAAAAGGGATGGGAGGATAATGGAGGGTCAATGAGATATTTTTACCATTTTATCCTTTTTTTAGAATTAATATAATTATTATACTTTACAAATTAAATTAAATTAAATTTAAAATTTCTAAAAAAATTATTTATGTACTTTTCACAACACCAAAAAAGATTATATTTTTGATGAAATTTCTACGTTGCAAACGATGAATCGTCGGAATACTTTTTGTCGAAAAGCGACGGAATTTTTCAACCGATGAAAATTTTTACAAAAATAATCAAAAGTTTTGATGAAAATGATTTCCTCCATCAGATGCTTTAAATATAAAAGAATTCTTTCAAACATTTTGACGGAACATTTTTCGTTCAAAATTTCGATGGAAATGTGTTCTGATGAAAATTTTGACAGAAATTGTTTTGTTAGAAATTTTGAGGGGAATGTTTCATTCAAACTTTCAACGAAATTTAGATTTTATAAAGAATTTTGACAGAATATTTTTTCCGTCAAAAATTTTTACGAAATAATTTTTTGACAGAAATGTGTTCCGTTGAAAATTTTGATGGAAATATTTTTTATCAAAAAATTTGACGGAAATATTTTTCGTCGAAAATTTTCGTGGGAAATGTATTTCGTTAAAAATTTTGACAAAAATTTTTTTTGCCAAAAAATTTAACGAAAATATTTTCGTCGAAAACTTTCGGTCAAATTTAAATTGTGTTAAGAATTTTGATGACATTTTTTTCGTCAACAATTTTCGATAGAAATGTGTTTCGTTAAAAATTTTGATGGAAATATTTTTCGTCAAAAATTTCGATGAATATATTTTTTTGTGAAATATTTTGTAAAACTTTAGATTGCGTAAAGAATTTTAACAAAAAAAAAAATTTCGTCAAATTTTTTTACAGAAATAACTTTTATCACAAATTTTGATGGAAATATTTTTCGCAAAATTTCGATGGAAATATATTCCGTAAAAAATTTTGACGTAATTGTTTTACGTCGAAACTTTTTGATGGAAATGTGTTTCATCAAAATTTTGGACGAAAATATTTTCGTGAAAAGTTTCGACAGAATTTAGATTCTATCAATAATTTTGACTGAATTTTTTTTTCGTACAAAATTTATGTTAGTGATTGTGGCAAAATCTGGTTCCGTCTCTAATTTTGTCTTTAGTTTTGACGGAAAGTTTTTGACGTATATGATTTTCATCAAAAATTTCATCACTAACTTTTATGAAATATTTTTCGTCAATAAATTATGTCGGTATTTGAGACTTTTCTAATAATATCGCATTTAAAAATGATTCACAATTATGTAGTTTTAACATTTTAATGCTAAGGGTAAAAAAATAATTTTTAACATTTTTCCCCTCAAACCCTCCAAATTGGGGGAACTTTAATTTTAAGAAGAATGAAGGTTTTAGAGGGTTTAGTAAAATTCTTCAAACTCTTCCCCTCCTTTTTTTAAACTCACAAACAAGGGAAGGGCTTTCTAAAACCCTCCCTTCCCTTTCCTTCCCCTCCTAAAACCAACTCTCAAACAAAGCCTTAGGGACTAATATGAGTCTTTTTTAAATTTGTGAGGAATCACGATTTCAACTAGGTCGATTTTGAATTTCTTAGGAACCACCATGGGCCTTTTTATTTGCTAGGGACTAAAATGGGCATCGTAAAATTTGCTGAGGACCAAAAAGAGTATTTATTCTATAAAATATAACTTACCCCGTCGTATTTACTGGTCCGTTGTGCCAAATTTGTTTTTTCGGTCTATCTCTGCCTCCACCGATGCAAAATATTTATCTTTTATGTCTTCTCATCTTTTCCGTCTTTTCAATCCATCTTTTCCATACATTGATCTTAGTAGCGAACTCAGAAAATTATATTTATGTCTATTCATTTAGTGATGGAAGACTGCCCTGGAATTTTATTTATAAAGAAAATGTGATTATCCTTTTCCAGCCAATTTAATTACAGCCTAGATCAATATCTTTGGGAAAAGGAATTCTCCCTTGCAGGTACAACATACCAAAAGCAGGATTTGGAGACAAGTATGGACATTATTTGCTTAAAGATCGCTTGCAATTATGGTGTGGGTGTGTGTAATAAGGTGTGTGAGTGTGTGGTTGTGTGTTCTATTCCCTGTAACCTACAAAAAAAAAAAATCGCTTGCAATTAATGTTGTCTATATATAAAAGCCTAGATTATCTATTTTTTTAATTGTTCAGCTCAAAAATTCCGAATGCTATACCTTGAAGTATCCCAAAAAAAAAAAACTTCAAAAAAATTTGTGTATATACCTGCCCACATTTGCACAAGTATGGGTCCGCCTATGATTGATCGACTTTGCTAACCCCGTTCAAAATATGAATGGTATTAATTTTATAATAATTATAAATTAAGTGATATAACATGTTTAAAGTGTACAATTTTTATAGAAACTTTACTTGGGTTATTCAGTTTGTAACTATTATAACTCTATCTATAAATTTTTTTAGTTTCCTCAAAGTATCCCCTAATTGAGATGTAAAGATTATTGAAATGTGTTTTATCTTTACCAACAAAATATTTTCCATACATATGATCAGAAATTAAATCTCTATCAACATACTTACTTGACCCAATCATATAATAACTGTGTCAGACTTTGTTGGTAACTCTTTATATAACTTTGATTAGTCAATATGTAATATTTAATATAAAATCTGTAAAATGAACGAAATTTATCCACTCGATATAATTCTTTAATAATATACTTTGGCCATGTAAAACTTATTTATGCTATTAAACCACTGCATTAACTAACAATTAAAATAACACAAATTATTTAGATATTGTAGATTCTTCATATTGACCTATCTTTTGTTCCCCCAAAATATCCTTTAATGGCGAATTTTTTAATACATATTTTCGAATTATGTTGAATCTGTTATCAACACCAAACCTTGAACTTTTTTTTTTAAAAAAAAATATTAATAATTTAAATAATTATAAAAAAAAGAGTTAAAAAATTAAATAATGTATCAGACGCATTTTTTTCAAAGACACAAAATAAAAAAGGATGTAATATGATGCTAGTAATTTTCTCTACTTGTAAATTTTATATCAAAAATAAAATAAAATTTGTGCTTCTATTCTTAGAGTGGATAACATCAGTATTTTTCTGCTTTTGTTCTTGGAGGCTATGCAACTACTTATAACTTCACCACCCTCTCTCTCACCCATGCCATCTTTTCCCTGTAAGTCTCTCTCTCTCTTTTTGACACTCAAAATTCACAAGAAACTGATGAAATATGAAAACTTTTTGGTTGTGGGGTATCGCTTTAACTTCCCTTTTGAAATCATAATTCTGGGTTTGAATGGTTCTCTATGTTTCAGCATCAGAATCTATTAAATTTTACATCTTTTTATTGTGAACTTGATTGTGTTTTGTGTTTGTTGTTGATATTAAAGTTAATATGTGTTAATGTCCACTTCTACTTTTCCCATATCCCAACCCCACCAGAAAAAATGGTTAATATATGATGTTAGAATCTTCAAACTTTGTTGGTTTGAAGTTTAAAACCACATAGAGTCAATGCCATATTTTCTGCTCACATTAGCTGCCAAAATAAGGAGGAAAAGTAAAATTTAATGTAAATAAACTAAATCTTTGAACTACTTGTAGCTGGCGTTGTTGCTGTAAGGTTAATGATTTTGGCAACAAATTAGTGAATAGGATTTTTTGCAGGTATTTCTTAACTAAATTTTTTTTACTTTTTTTGGCAGTAAATTTCCCTTGTGCTGTACAAGGAACTATATTTTCTCAAAGGAAACAATTGACTCATGGATGCACAAACCAGAAATCAAAGGATTACATGTAAGAGTGAACTGTAGATTGACATTCTTTTTGTGAAATTTCTTGAATGTGGATTATCATTTAGTAGCCTCCTGTGTTGTTTTTATCTGTTGGACAGAGTGGAGGATAGTTCCATATTACATTCTGAGAAAGCATTAAGGAGGAAACTTCTTATCCTTTCTGTTTTGGTCTCAACTGGTGTTTTTCCAACTTTTTCTTCTAATGGGAAAACAAAGAGTTTGAATCCATATGATGAAAAACGCTTGCTACAACAAAATAAGCGCGTACAGAAAGAAAACAATGCACCAGAAGACTTCCCGAGTTTTATTAGAGAAGGTAACAATGCTTGTTTTTCCATCTCTTCAAAGATCTACATGTGTGATTTAGCTATATGCTTTTCACTTAGGCTCCTAAAATTTTCACACAGAATTTCAGTAGACAAACACAACTGTGACACTGACCAGAGAGATCACAATGTAAAAAAATAATAATAGAATCTTTCTTATTGAACTTAGAGAGTAACATAATCATGTATGAAAAACTGATGTAAGATAGGACATTTGTTTGTTGTGAACCTCTTGGATATGTTTTTGGATATGATGGTCTGATTTATTGATATGCATTTCAGGTTTTGAAGTTAAAGTTCTATCTTCAGATAACTATGTGAAGTCTGATTCAGGGCTCATATACCGAGATTTTGAAGTTGGTAAAGGTGATTGCCCAAAGGATGGTCAACAGGTTTTTATTTTATTTTCTTTCCAATCTGCACTTCTTTCTTTGTAATTTACTCTTAAGACAATCGTTTGGCAGAAGCACTTTCCAAAAATATTAGGCAATGAGCATCAAAATGAGAACTAGATTTGTCCCTATGTAGTCTTTTGCAACTGACTACACCTTTAAATATTATTAGAGAACGGAAAGGAGTATATATTGCTTTGATATGAAAATATTTTCTATATGATAAGGAAAGTGTTGAAGCAATTATTTGTGCTGCATCACCAGTTGCTCAATAATTTATTGTTTCAAGGAATATCTTGAGTTTATTGAGGTAGGGGAAAATGGAAATTGATGTTTGAGTGGTTTGATTGGAGAGGTTTTATAATTTTCCGAAATCTAGAGCAAGATGCCACGAAGCTATAATATTGTCTAGAAGACTTTTCCTCTTGGTTTGCTTTGAAACCTGTTTTTACTATGAGGGTCTTGTTTTTGAGCCTTTAGATATTTTAAAGTACAGTCTAACTACTCACAATTTTGGTGTAATTTTTACTTCCACACTCATGGTAAGAAACTAGGAGGATGAGCCTTGGAGCTGTGGTAAGGTTGCTCTAGAAGGTTATTGGTTCGAATTTGGGAAACTTTGCAAAAATGTAAGGGTAAAGCTACGTACAATTGACCCTCACCCTTATCCTCGCAAGTCGGGTAGCCTTGTACACTAGGGTTTGAATAATTTCTTAGCAATAGCAGCTGAGGAAAATACAGAAAGAATATCAGATTGAAATAGAGCTTCTCCATTTGTTGATGCATGTCCACTAAATAAATTGTCTTTGTTTAAATCAATGACTTCCAGCTATATTTTAATTCCTTCGAGAAAAAAGTAAATTCTGTATCACTTGGCTACAAGGAAATTGTTAAGCAAGTCAGCCTAAATTTTTACTGTGGCGAGAGCATAAAATATAAGAGAATGACTTATTGATACTGCTAAGTAATTCTCTGGAATTTTATCTTAGGTTTTGTGTCAACTGTTGTTGATAGAGCCCTTCTCCATTCTACTTCGTCCAAGGATTTTTGCAGGAAATTCTTGTACATCTATCCTTGCCATTTTCTCAGTGAAATTAATAGAGGATAATATGATTTTTCTGTTATTTATTTATTTATTGTATTACAAAGAAACTCCCAGTCAATGTAATTTTTTATTTATAAAAAAATGGCAAACCTCAATACACAAGACTCTTCAACTTGTGAGAGTAAGGATGAGGGTTGATTAGATGCAGTCTTACTTTTGCATTTTTACAAAAAGTCCGTTTCCCATAATCGAACCCATAATCTTCCAATCACAAGGAGCAACCTGCTCCAAGTTTTGCCTTTTTTTTTTTTTTAACGTTAATTTTATCATCTACCCATACTTGGCTCAGAGACTTTATCAGTCAGGTGAGGTGATTAGTTGATAGTGGCCGATATTATAGCTTTAAAGCTATCTCAAGAATGTCATTTTCAGCCCTGCAAAACTGTAACTTTAAGGCACAAGGCACTGTTATTTAAAACTTGACTTTAATACACAAACTACATTCACTAATTTGGTTATTATCCAATTACATTTTATACCTTGCAGGTGATTTTTCACTATGTTGGCTATAATGAATCTGGGCGCCGAATTGACAGCACTTATTTGCAGGGTTCTCCTGCCAGAATCCGCATGGGTACTAAGGCATTGGTTCCAGGTTAAAACTATTAAGATTTAGTACTATTAGTTTCCTTGCAAACTGTATGACAAAAAGTATTCATCCTTTGTCTGCTTTCTGTCTTTCCCCAAATGAACCAAAAAGGGGAAGAAATAAATGCAGAAGGAAGTGAGTAAAATACATTTTCTGATGTAGGATTTGAGGAAGGAATTAGAGACATGAGACCAGGTGGGAAGAGAAGAATCATTATCCCCCCTGAACTTGGACCACCGGTGAGTTCCTCCTACATCTCTCATTTCGTTTATCTCCTTTCTCTAACTTGTTTTGGAGTCTTTCCATATTGTTGAAATTGACTGCTTAGAACTTAGTGTATGCTAGAAAATCGCTCCTCGTTAAACCCCGACTAATGAGGGTTGGGGTGGGGACAATTCTTGTACATAGTCTTATCCTTGCATATTTACTAAAAGCTGTTTCTCGGATTCAAACTCATGATCTTTCAATCACAAAGAAGCGGTTTTACAACTGCTCTAGGCTCGCCCTCTTAGCTTAGTATATGTGTTAGAACTGGATCAGAGATGAAGCAAAATAACTACTAAGAACAGAGTATTTTGGCCCAGAAGGAACACCTTATGGATTTTCTGTATATTGATAAGCTAAAATTACAAGCAATAGTAATGAAAATAACAAAGACTCAAACTACTACAATGGAGGTTTTCCTATTAGCTACGAAGACAGAAAATGGAAAGAAAGAAAGATACAATTCAACACATTAGAGAGGTGTTGATTCTCTACCAATCTGGTTTCCCAGCCCAAGTCCCAAATTCCCATCTATTTCCATGCCTCTGCTCATGCCACTCCACATCTTTTATTCCCTCTAACAGCCATGCCACCTCAGCACCACCCTCCTTCTTTCCTCTAACAAACTCATTCTTCTAGAATATCCTGACTAACAGACTTATCATGCTCCCATAATCCCCTACTACCCAACTTACATATACCTACATATACTTACATGAATATATTCCTATCAGTATGCTAAGGTCAAAGAAATTTGCCTTGTGCTTTACTCACAAAATTATCATGTATTACAATTTGCAGCAATAAAGTCAGATGATTTAACTCTGACACGTGGTTGGAACTAGTTTGGACAAAATAGAACTATTTAAAAAGGAGAAATTCGAATTTGGCTGTATACAAACTCCCAGTGTCTCTGGTCTAACATACAGCACGCCCAAGGCATACATGAGTTATGTTGAAAATCATTATCTTATCTATTTCTGTCAATAATTATTGCTTCTTTAATGTCTATTTGATTTTATTGTATAAGCAAGTGATAGATAAATGTATATAGCAATTGCTTAATAGATTCTTGATTTCTCTTTCAACATTGGCCAATTCATTTGTTAGAATCAGAATGCTTAACTGATGCACAGTTGCATACTTCTTGGTTCTTGCCCCCAATCCCCCTCAAGGAGCTTGTTATGATCAATCGTGATCCTTTCATTAATGTGGGTGTAATTTTGATCTTCTACAACACCAAATGCACAGGCCAATAACTTTTCAGATCTTTTTTTACTCTCACACCTGCAAAAGAAATTTTGGCAGAATATTGAAGTCTATTACTTGGATCCAGCTTACCCTTTTCTGATAACTAATCAGAACCTGTTGAACTCACCAAAATATATAATAAAATAAAACTAATCTGTTTGAAACTATTGCTAAGCAGATTGAAACTTTTTTTTTTTTTTTCTTCTAGGCATAAGAAAACTTCATTTCAATATTATGTCCAACTTGCAGTTACATATAGGTTTCAATCCTGAGAACCTCTTAATAGTTCATCATTCTTACTAATATTTTGAGTTACTATCACAGTTCTTGTGACTGCTCCGAACTTACTGTAAGAAATATGATTCTGAATTTAATAATCTATCCTGAGTATCATGCCTGATGTTTGGTGTTCTGCAGGTAGGACCTTCAACGTTTTTCAGCGCAAAACAGTTTGAAGTTTTTGATGTTGAATTATTAAGTATACAAAACTGTGAAAGAAGGACCATAGCCTTTTACTCTGATGTCATATGCAATTGAGACAAGGCTTCCATTTGAGTTTTCTGCAGCATGATCACTGAAGGTCTAAAGCACAGATTATAGCTAGGAACTCAATTATGATTTTGCTCCATAGAAACAGTAACCTCACAACCTTTGCTGTATTCTTTTATTGGTGCATATTTTCCAGGATTCTTTACTGTTCTGGTTTGTAATCCTGTCAATCAGTAATAGCTTTGTAGCAAGGACTTGAAACGGTACCATACTTGTACTCAACAACAAAAAATGGTACCATACACCCAATTGTTTATGGATAAGGATGCAAAGCCAGAACTTTTCCCACTCTAGTTGAAGAAATTAATTTTAACTTTGACTGTAAGCAACTTTTAGCTACTATATTTATTTATACAAAGAAGCTTAAGAATAATGGATATCTATACAATTTTTAATTGTTAGGGCCTGCAATGTACGAATTCAGGACTAGAATAGTGGTAAAGCTGTTTTTTTGTGACTGAAAAGTCACCAGTTTAGATCCGCAAAACAGCTTTGCAAATATATGAAAGTAAGTAAGACTATATATATGGTTATCCTCATCCTACCTTCGTTAGTCCAGATTTAACGAAGAGTGATTTTTAGGGCCTACAATGTGCGATCATGATTTATGCAGTCTCATGGTTTTCTAAATTTAGTCCATTAGACCCAACAGAAAACTGATTTGAACTTTGTGAAATGCATATTTATGTACTTACTTAGTATCTCCAGGTAGGCTCTGCAACTTCTGGCAGAGAAAACTAATATAACGGTGTTCATAGTTTAACAAACCAAACTGACTATGGAACCAAACCAGTAAAAAATTTTAGTTAATTCAGTTTCAAACGGCACAGACATTAAAATCAAACCCAACTTACGAAAATGTGAAAAATATATGTACTGTATTATAATGATTTAGTTTTGATCTACTACTGCTCTACTTTTTAATAGCATCATTCACTTATGTAATGACACATTAGTAAGAGTTTGCCTGAGATAACTTGTGAATGTAAGCTCCTAATGATAAATCAAGACATTATTGAATAAGAAATTTAACAATAAGTTGTATCATACTACTTATACTTTTAAGTAAGTTTAAGGTAAAATGATTCAAAATTTCAAATACTAGTCTCTTAACTTCTCAAGAGTGAAAATTTATTAGGTGCCACTGCTGTATCGAGTACGGTACATCATTTACTCAAATTGGAAAATTTTACTCCCATTTAAATCCAAATCTTTTCTCTTATTTCACAACAAGTCCAAAAGTTTAGCTTTTCTTGGTCAAGATGTATAGTACATCTGCTGTACCAAAGAGTCACTCCTCAAGAATAAGTCATTAACATGAATTACAAGCAATTATTTTAGTTAATAAAATGATTATTATTTTTAATATATGTTTATCATGCAATTATTCGTATCAATCACTTATCAAATGAATCAGTTGCTTTTACTAATTAAAATAGGCCAACATGTAGTTAATTGAACTTTAATTTAAGCAAATGGTATTATGGTAGCGTCAACAACACCCATATTGCCTTGTAAAATTGTGAAATCAACTTACTCATACTCATACCACTAAGGTACCACCATAATTAGTTCAATGACAAATCATGCGTGTCATACAGAATGAGAATAAACTTCGGTGACATAATTGTTTACTGTTGCTTATTTTCTTTTATACGCACTAATATGTTCAGTTAAAACGATAGTGCATTTCTTTCAATGTTTGCGTTCTTGGTAAATCTTCCTAGAGATTTAACATCATGCTTGCACCTTTATTTGCTCATAATATATAATGAAGATCAATATATGACAGCCATTTTCTTGATTGTATCAGAAACTTCTGTTTACTATCATTCAAAAGTAGTTTTTGATATTTCAAATGCTTGAAAATTTTAACAAGGTTCAGCCGTTCAAAATCTAACTCTTTAACTTCTTGGGAATTTAGAGAACAAGCTATAACTTAGAACAAACATTGAAATTGACCATGGATGTCCATCAAGGGGAACCATAGTCAAAAAAGAAAAACGATAAACCCAAATTACATAGTTATCGTTGATATGAAGAGAGATTGATAAGAAAAAAATGAGCCTATAAAACCAGTTATGCTGGAAGTACTGGATTGATATACATAACTTTCCATAGAAAGAGTATTTGCACAAAGCCAGATCCTTAAGTTTTTTAAAGCAACAATAGACTAAGGTGGTTGTCGCATACGGGTATTTCTGCCATCAAAATCTGATGAAGATAAGTTAAGCATGCTTAAACATTTTCATGCTGAGCCAATGAAAGTACACAGCAACCACAATTATAGGGAGAGTCAATGGCACCAAGAAGCAGTAGTACCTATTATATTAGTCAAACATAAATCAGGAAAATGATGAGTTTTTCTTTTTCCCTCAGGGAGAGGTAATAGTAATAGCAATATTAACAAATGATAACAACAATTGTTTTCAAAAGAAATTGTAACAACAATAACATACTATTTGTTCCCTCAATGTTTTTAATTGCCACATCATCACGCGCATCAAATTTATTTTTTCTATATTTCCCCCGTGTCCAAAAGAAGCTGCTGTTTTGGTGATGATAGACCATGAGGAAAATTGGAAAACCTAACTTAAGGCATTAATCGGTATTATACCTATAGCAATTACATTAATTTAATCCAATGTTTGGAGGATCTTATACCCTTAAGAAAGAAAGAATCACCTAAGAAGCTAGGACAAATATCATGTTAGACAGAGGGAAGTGGTATGACTTGATTAACTTCCCAACATGTTTGTTGGCTGTTCTGACTAGGTCATTTCCCCAACATTTTTACCCAAGCATCAGAAAATCCATTACCTCCACAATGTGAGGAGGAGGATCAGGCTGTTTGGTCTAGGCAGGCTTGGAGTATGGAATCTTTCATGAGTATAGCATTAACGCTTCTAAGTTCCTAATTCCTATGCACTATCAGGATCATTTGGAGTTGGAGAAATTCAGAGGTTATGGCTTGGGATAGGTGGCACAGGTCCATGATCTTCTCTGAGATCTTTGATCTAGTTAAGATTTGTAGATTAGTGCAGTTCTCTGACACAAATAACACCCCTAACACTGGAAGGAGGATTATGTGGTGCCCCCAAATGATGATTTTATTAAAGTGAATGTAGAGAATCCTCTTAACAACCCTGGAAGAGCAGGGGGTGATGAATATTGAGCATAATTTTTGGGCATGAAGTTTTTTCAATTTTATATGTATCTGCTGATAGTTTTGGTATAGCCTTCTGTTAAGGTCTTTTTTCCTCTTCTCATATGCACCATAAAAAGAGCATTTATTTTCTACCCTCAAGAGGCGTACAAAACAAGCCGAACCAGACACGTAGCAATCCTCAAAGTTTTCAGATACACAATATGACATGAATATAAACTGGCTAATTTGTCTAACTGAGTAAATCCAAACCAAGTAAATCAGATTTTTCTCAACCTTCTTGTGTGTAGCACATAAATGGCATTTTCAAACCATACACCAGTATCAGTAAGCCAAATACAACAAAGAAATCTATCATAGAACATATAGCAATTTGAAGGTGTCATGTTTTATACTTTATGCCTTGTACTCTTTACTATTCCCTCTCCAAAAATCAACAAATAAAAAAAAAACCACTCCCTGTTAAACCCGACTAGCGAGTGTGGGTTGGAGGTAATCCTTGTACGTAGACTTACCCTTGCATAATTGCAAAGAGACTGTTTTTTGGATTCGAACCCATGACTTTTCAGTCATGAAAGAAAGGAGAGTAGAAAAAAATCAACAAATATGCTAAAAAAATCATTGATCAGAGAGTAGAAACTCAACAGTTGTACATCAATATCAGGATTGATTACCAGTCATTTTGCATGGCAGATATCAGTGCATTATCTGAAGGCGGAAGAAGCTTGGAAATCACTGCAATAAAGAAGTAGCCAACAAAGAAAACAGAGCCAAATGAGACAAACAACCATCCCCAGAATTTTCTCTCATCATATGAAGCCAACCAACAGGACCTCCAAGAACACAAGCTCATAGAATCAGTCAAGTAGAAGAAGCCAACCTTGACCACAATCAACACCGCTGAAGGAATTTTAAAAAAAAAAAAGTTAGAGCTTTCAATTACAAACGAAAATTTAGTTCCAATTTCCAACCTTTATTAACACAAGCCAATGCAAGTTTACACAAAAATTTAACCCAAGATTTTTTTTTTCATTTTATTATTATTATTATTATTTTGATGAACTAAGTGCTAACTTTAGAACACATTACTACCATTAAATGAGATTAGAAGCCAACCTTGACCAGAATGAACACCTCTGAAAGAAAAGATTCGAACTTTGAGTTATGAACGCAATTTTAGTTCAAACCCATGAATTATTTATTCAATTTTTTTTATGAACCAAGTGCTATTCTGAGTTTAGAACGCATTACATGCATAAACTGACATTTCTGTATGAAACAAAGGCACGAATGAAAGAGAATTGTTATTGTTACATGAAATAACAAAAATAAAGAGAGTCAGAGATCAGAAGAATAAGATTAAAGCACAATGATTCCAATACCTGGCAGTGTCAGGATGTGAATTTGTGTTGTGAAGTGAAATCACAAACGAAATGAATCACCTTTCATCAATTGGGTGCAAACAATTTACGAATTTGAGGTAAATTCAAAAAACAAATTTTGGGGTTTAGAAACTTTTCACCAAAATGGGGGAGTTTTGTAATTATTTAAAGGTTTTGGGTTACTGTGTGTCAATTAAAGACGATTCTCCCTTGTCCGTGTGTAAAAATGTTCATAACGAAAAATATTAATTAACTCGTACAAGGCGCTGAAAAGATATTTATATACTCTCAATGAATAATTTTTTTTTAGATTTTTCCACCGTTTCATTGGTTATTGGACTAATCCGTTTGAGCTGGTAGAATCACACATGTCATAAAAGTCTCTTGGACGTTTGTAAGTTTGGTAAAGGAAAAAAAAAATTACAAGAAAAATATAATTATTAGGAATATGGTGAGAAACGAAGTTTGATAGAAAATTATAAAAAAAAAATTGTTTAGTTGGTCAAAATTTTATCGGAAAAAGTGAGTAGAATTTTATAAGTCTATATTTGATTGAAGGTAAAATATTGATGGGAAAATTGATCAAAATTACCAAATTAACCCTTTTTAATTTTTGAGATATAATCGCTTTCCTTTGTTTCCGGTGGTTGAATAACTGTGTTGGAAAAAAGAACTACTCAACATTCTATCTTATGATGAGTTCGGTCATATTAACGGTGAGTCCTCTCCTCAGTATTATAGTCTCTTTCAATTTCTGACCCAATAAAAGAAAGTGTTTCAATTGGA